CCCCCCGAACGCGGCCGAAGCGAGCTGCGGCCGCGCGAACGACGGGGACCGCCCTCGGGGTGCTGCTCGCCCTTTCCCCACGTCTCAGATCAAACGGATTTTGCTGCTTTGTACAGCGCTAGTCACAAGAGGGTCCGCCCGTCCGGTGACTGTTTCCGGAAAAACTGCATCCACTTTTCATTAGCAAAACTACATCTCTTTTGGCATCTTTTCAAGACAGAAGCAGCACACCGCATTGCTACCGTGCCAAGTGGTAGCTTTATTCTTTGCTTCCCCCTCCCTCCCCCCCCGAAAAGCTTAAGGAGGCGACTTTGAAGATAGGTTGAATTTGGGCTTTTCCCAGCAGAACCTGCAGCACTTTAATAGCGTTATACCCAAACATCAGCTCTGTTGGTTTTACATCTCAGAGCCACGGAGACACCAGCAGCAATAACCTGGGAACTGAAAGACTTCCAACATCGCTTGTGCATTTTCTTGTTTTTTTTCTTAAAAAAAAAAAAAAGAAAGCACAACAGAAAAGACAAACATTGATGAACATTAAAAACCTGTACATTGTAAAAAACAGAAAAAAAAAACAAAAAAAACCCAAAAAAACAAACCCCAAACAAACAACCAACACCGTCATTCTCTTGCTTTGAAATCAGAATCAACCTCGGAACATGGTAGGGGGAAAAGAAATCGCCACCGAGGACGTGACAACGGCATCCTCTCTCTTTGCCACACTCTCCTCGACGCCAGGAGCTCCTGGACCGCTGCGGCTGGCTGGCTCGTCCACCCAGCAGCGCGAGAGGCAGAAAGTCTGTGCCATGGTCTTTTTTCTTCTAGCGTACAGAATGCAAAGCATTTAATACATTTTGGGATTTTTTTTTTTTTGCTATTTTTTTCCCCCAGAGCGAGAAAGCAGAAGTGAACGAAAAAAAGTCTAATATTTTGTTCTTTTAACCATGTAACTGCAGATATGATCCAACATCATGGAATGAAAAAAAACAAAACAAAACAATGTAAAGTAGAGCATTCGCGTGTATCACAAAAATACAATAAAAACTTTTTTTTCTTCTTTTCGAAACGTTTCCTGTGACCTCCCTGCCAGCCTGGCCTCGTGCCCTGCCCCGCGCGGCCCCCGCACCCGGCGCGCTCTGCAGG